GGGAAGATGGTGAAAAAAAAAAAAAAAAAAAAAAAAAAAAAAAGAGTCGTTTTCTTGGTACAGCTCTGGGGAATAAACAGAAGCTGCACCACTAAGTTCTTCCTCCAAAACCACCCTGAGACCTGCACTGCCTCTTCCCAGCAAACTGAAGTGTAGGTGTTTTGATGAAGTGCTTTGCTGTGCTATTTTGTACCACAGAATGCAGTGGAGGGGCCTACCGATGTTCTCTTGAAATTGTCATTGGCATTAATGGTTTTTCAGGGATGCTAATGCTGTTTTGGTAACCACCCAGTACAATTCTCCTGGTTTTGAAAGGGAAGATCAAGGACCATTTTGTGTCACAAACTCTCCTGGCTCTTACTTCTGCCTTGCTGGTGTCTCCTCTGTTTTTAGACTGAACACAAGCAACCCGGGTATTGCTAGCGTTGCTTTCTTGCTATAAAAGAGCTTACCTTTTTATGTTGATTAATGATAGAAAATCAAAACTGTAACTTCCCCTTCCCTCTGACAGACGTGTGATTTACTGCCAGAGATGATGCTATTTTCTTTGCTATATTGCTGCTGCTGTTTTAAGTGGTTTGGTGTGTGAGCTTTCTGAAACAACACGGTGTGTGTAGGATCTTGTGGGTGACAAAGCTGTCTCTTTTCTTCTTCCTTTCTCTCCTTGGTTTGTGCTTGTCTGTCTGCTGTGGTAGGTTTACTAATAAATTAAATACATCCTTATTAGATATAATTTTGAGGAGGTTTGCATGTCCGTAGTTTGTAAGCAACTAAGGTGCCTCATGTTCAGGTCTGAGCAGATAGGAATCCCCTTGCACTCAAGAGGGCCTGATCCAAAACCTGCTGAAGTTGGTAGGAAGACTCTTGCCAACTTCAGGGGGCTTTGCATCTGGCCTTACACTCCCACCTTTGTTGTGCCTCACTTAAAATGGTGCTTTTTCAGTTGTCTGTCTTTTTTTCTAGTTTGTTTTTTTTTTTTTCTTTGTATGGTGCTGTGTATAACTTGAATATATTATGCACATATCCTACCCAATGGGTAGAACAAAAAACATACGCAAACAAATAGATGTTGTTAATACTGTAAGATAGTGTACAGATGATACCAATTTTAACACAAAAAAAATGGCATAGACTTTGTGAATGCCAATCTGTGCTTGGTCCTTTTTTTGTAAGAAAGTTTGCAAATGAATGCATACAAATGACAAAAAGTCTATGTATTTTATTTTCCTATTAAATATCAATATAATATCATAAGGGAAAAAGGTTAAACAAATCCTTTTTGACAAGCCTGTGTATAGCAATTAGTCGTTTGATGCATCTTTGCTGTGAAGATTTCTTTTTTTTTTTTAATGTGTCACTTTAAAAAAAAAAGGAAAAAACCACAAAACAAACAAAACCTCCACAGCTTTAACCTTGCAACTAGATGCTTCTCGTATTGGTTGTTGCCTTGCTATTGCTGAGTTGGACCAGTATTAGTTACTACTTCTCCAGCAGATACATTATTTATTTACATTACTATCCTTGATTACTTTTTTTTTTTTTTTTAATTTAGAAATGGGCTAAAAGTTTTCAAACCTTTGTAATCACATCCTAGATTTGAAACGAAGCTCAGACAAGTGGGAACTGACCCAAACCGTCCCTGCAAAATCAAAACCAGGCCAATGAGAGTTCTGTGACAACAGCCAGCTGTTGCTGTGTGCCCACTACTGGTGCACCATGCTGCCACTACAGACTGTCCTTGGCCTTGGGGTGTGGATGGACTACCTGGTGGCCTGTGCTCTTGCCTGGGGACAAGAGTGGCCCCAGCTGGTAGCGAATGCAGGGTTTGAGTGGGAGCTTTGAGTTGGCAGCTCTGCTGCTGTGTTGGCTTCTGACAGCAGTGGCTTACCCAGGTTCATATTTAAGATTACAGAGAAATGCTTAGACCTGTTCAAACCCAGCAGGGGAAGTGGTGTGGGAAGTAAGGTTACACTTCAGCTTCCTGCCGGGCTCCCTTGGCCGTTCGGTTCTCCCCTGGCGTCTCCCGTGTTTGGCGCTCCATTCCTGTGCCCCTGCACGCTCTTCGGTAAATCAAATACCTCAGGAAAACTCAACGTGAAGTTCTAGTGTAGGGACTTGCAGATGCTGTACTTATTTTTCTAAACTGTTTGTTCTAGCTATCCCAGGACAGTAGGTGATATAAAAGTTTATCGGTCCAAGACAGACTCATCCTCTCGCAGATGGATACCAACTAATCTTTCAGAGATACTCCTGTCTGTATGTAGCTTTTTTATACTTGCCAGGCTTTAACCACAGATGTAAGGTAGCAAGGTGTTGGGCGATGTTTGAGATGGCGTTTTGGTTGGGTTTTTCAGATGATTAGCAAAGCGCTGTGCTAAAACTCAGGGGGCCTTACCCAGGGCCAGCGAAGTCAGTGGAGGGGCTTCCTCTGGTTTGAGTGGGCTTTCAACCCGGTCCGTCACGCTGGGGGATGCTGCCTTGGGGCACAGTCCTCCACTGCTTCTCTGTCAACCTGAAGCATCTACACCTTTGTCTGTAAATATCTTTTTAAAAGCCCTCACAGGAGTCCTGTATCTGAATGTTGACCATGGTTGTTTTGGCTTTCTTTTGTTTTAAAGAAGTGTGTTAAGTTTCTTATGGCCAGTTCTGCATCATCATGCCCTTATAGGTAGCTTGTATCATCACATCCTTCTCTATGTTGAGCTGTTCTGTCAGTAAGCATGTACCGTAGGTAAATACACATATTTCGTGATTGTCACTTGTTGATTCATTTATTGTTTGTCAGGGCATGGAGTAATTGTTTTGGAAGTGTGCCTTGCCTGGCCATCTTCACGCTTCTGTTTGCACTGCAGAACCACTTCTGTGCATGAAGGAAGAAAAGCAAACAAAAAACCCCGGGCCTTCACTAGGAAGACTGTACAGAGTAAACCTCCTGCTGGAGGAATCTAGAATAGGATTTATCATAACAAAACATGCATATTGAGTGGACCAAACACGAGCATGTCTTCTTTTAGAGGCACTAATTTGCTTTGATGCTGCAGTGGAAAGAGCAGACTATCTATCTATTAAGTGTATTCACAGCTGTGTTCACGCTTTTCCATTTACCACAAAGCACAGCAGGCAGCCAAGATTTTAAAAGGACTGTGAGCAGAAGTTACGAGAGCCTCAGGCATCATAGACCTGGACAGCAAAAATAATAATAATAATAATAATTTTTAAAGAATCACTTTAGTATTCTTTAACAAAGCTTTTCTACTCATAATATAAAAACTACATAAATGTCGATAGGGGTTTTATCTTTGTATAACTCTCAACTGCCCAATGCTGCTGTGCTCAGAGCATTTCATGATGGTATGTACATCAGTCAGGCTGTTACACTCAAAATTAACCATCAAATGCCTGTTTTTAGAGTGTTACCCTTTCTTTGTTGTTTCTTGCTAGTTAATTTACAGTGTAAAATGCTTTATTGCTGTATGGATTTTAATTTTTTTTTGTATTTCCAACATTGTGGCTTTCAAGATCACATTTTCAACACATCTATTGTTTTTGTCCATTTTCTTTCAAGCTATTCTGAAATATGTACAGCACTATCAACAATATTTAATCTTTCTTTTAAAATTTATTGTTGTAAAACAAAGCTATTAAAAACAGTAAGTCTTTTTACAATTGTATTGGAATTTCTCAGTAGCTGTTCATGTGATGCTATGACAAACCTGGCTTGCTTTACTTTTTATTTTTTTTTAATTTTATTTTGTGTTTAACACAATTAATTTGTTGCTTATTTTCCACCGTAACTCCCAGTTATATACAGAAAAAGATTTCAAACTGTTGTGTATCTGACTCTTTTAATTGAGCAAATGGTGATGTCCTAGTTTTTAGACCTAAGGTCTGTTTATTGCAATACTTTTAAAGGAAGATGTTGCTCTAAGTGCTGTTGTTAGTTTTAAATACAGATTTTATGCTTGTTCTTAATATGCTGTGGTTAAACCATGGCACAAAATTATTAAAAATTATTAAATGCATTTGTCTCCTGTTGGATTTATTTTCCCTTTGAAGTGAAAAAAAAAAAACAAACCAAAAAAAGCTTTGGTAAAATAAGTGAAGTGGTAAAAATAAGTACTTGTCTTTTTTCCCTTGCTGTTTTGCTGCTGGCAGCCAGGTAGCAGATCGTGAAGGAATGGGAGAGGACTCAATCCTTGCAGCATTATGTGCGGGCCCTGGGAAGTGGGTGTCTGATGAGGGTTTGAGATCAGCCTTCTGACCCTCACACTCCGGCGATTAACGCTGGGACGGTTCCTGCCTGCCTCTGCCATAGGATGGGCTGGAGCAGGAGACAGCCTGTCACACACGAGTTCAGTCTGGGCACCTAATCTGAGCCTGCTCGTGATTTCAGTTCCTTCAAGATGACAACCCCACCTCGATCTCTAAATTTAAAGCCCTGCTGGTGGTGCCGGCCTCTGGCACAGCAGTGCCGGCTGACCAGCGGGGGGGATAAGCAATGCCCCCAAAGCACTGAGGTGCAAAAATTCTTTAAAAAATGAAGGTGCAAAATACGGCTTGTGGGAGGGGGATTCGCAGCCTGGTTTGAGAAAGCTGGGATGTGCTTTGGCCAGTGCTTAAAACAAGAGCAGTTGTGGTCCAGCAATGGGGCGAAGAGAGGGATGATGCTCTCAGTAAGAAACCAGATGAAAGGCTCCCGTGAAACATGCAAAGATTTGTCTTTGGTGATGCAGATCTTTGCAAGGTAGATCAAATTATCCCTAGCTGGCACCTGCCGCTTTGACATACTAAAGCTTAACAAAACTGGGAAAGAGCAGGTAATTTCACTTCATTCTGTGTATAAAGTGATGCTTTATTTAGCATGATTATTAATAACATAGTTATCTCGGTTTATATTTTACACCTGTGCTTGCTGGGTGTCTGTGTTGCCGCAATGTGATGCTGAGTTTGATACTT